TGATTTTGTTCTTGACCGACGACTATATGGACGTGATGATGATGATGAAGCTTATGAAAGAAAAAAACAAGAAAGACGATTACGTGAAAAAGAAATTCGTTATAGAGATGTAAGTTTTTAAAGATGAAATAGTTAACTTGACGAATATTTTTTTCTTCTAGAGATTAAAAGCATGGGAACAGCGTGAACGAAAAAAACAGAATGATTATGAATTAGAAAAACGTCGGGAATTAAGTCGATTACATGATGAAGAAAAAGAAGGCAAACGTTTATTAGCATTTCTTGAAGATTATAATGATGAAAATGATGATCCAAAATATTACAAGTATATATTTTATATTTAAATAATTAATTGAAAAAATCTTATTTTTCTGTTTTTCAATATAGAGGTACATCATTAGCTCGTCGTTTAAAAGATCGTGAACATGAAATTGAAATAGATAATCGTGATCGACGTCATGAAAAAGATGAAATTGAAGAATTACGTCAAAAATTATTACTTCAAGATAATATTGATGATATTGAATTAGAAATAAAACGACGTTTAGAAAAAGAAGAAGAATTAATACGTAAGCGTTTAGCTGATCTCACACGAGCAAGTGATGAATCTGCTGATGAATCAGATAACGATGAACAACAAGCTGTCAGTCGAAAAGATACTGCTGTTCTACCTTCCGAATCAGCTAATAATACTAGTAAGATAAAAGTTTTTCGTAAGATCTTATATAACTATTTTTTCTTTTAGGTACGGAAAGTATGGATCATTCACTACGACAACCAGCATCTCCACAAATTGGTTTGTTGAATATATATATATAATTTAAATTTCATTTCTTGTTTTTTCCTATTTAGAAGTTAAAGTTAGTCCACGTCAAACATCTGCACTTGGTGGTGCACCAATTACAGGTACAAAACTTCCTTTAAAACGAAAATTAGCCGTAAATGAAGTAAGATTTTTATTTTTTAATGAAGCCGTTTTTTTTTTATCTTTGAGGAAATCTCTTTGTAGGCTTTTCGTGATGATCAAGAAGATGATAATACAAATGCTCTTCAAAAAAAATCAAAATTAACTGCAATACCTGATCAACCAGCTATTCCAATTTCTCAAACTTCTCCACATATTAAAGAAGAACAAACTAATCGACCATCATCAGGAAAAACTACAGCTGTTACACCTACAACAAATGTTAATTCTGCTCAAGCACAAGAAGAAAAACGTCAAGCTGTACGAAAATTAATTGAAAATATTCCAACAAAAAAAGAAGATTTATTCACTTTTCCACTCGATTGGTCACTTCTTGATTTCGTACGTATAAAGATTTCTCCTTAATTTTCATTAAGAGTACTAGTTTAAAATATCCGTCTCGAAAATCACTTATTCGATATTTTTTTGGTCTATGCTTAAATGAATTAAGGAGAATAGTATGTTGAGAATGTCCGGTAGCAAATCGCAATGGTTAATACGTATGACCCTGATTAGACATGCGCAGGATAAGCTTTTCTCTTACCTTTACCCTGTAACTCTGATCAAAAACTGAATTATCATTTTTTTTTTTCGGTAAAAATTCTAACATTAATTTTTTGTTATAGAATCTAATGGAAAAACGTATTAAACCATGGGTAACAAAAAAAATTGTTGAATATATTGGTGAAGAAGAAGCAACATTAACAGATTTTATTTGTACATCAATAATGTCAAAAAAAAGTGCAGAAACAATCTTATCTGATATACGTGTTGTACTTGATGATGAAGCTGAAGTATTTGTTGTTAAAATGTGGCGATTAATTGTCTATGAAATTGAAGCTAAACGCTTTGGTCTAAGCAAATGATTGGCTTTTTGTCCGATTTTGTTCTCGGTGTGTTTGTGTGTGTGTGTGTGCGTGTATTCTTACATGTTTTTCTCTTCTTTATTATTAAGACAAAAAAAACAAGAAAATAGATGAATTAAAGTGCGTTTCTGTTATGTACAAATATCAAGTCTATTCAAGTTAAACACGAAAACGTACTTAGAAATAAACTTGTCTTTTTTTAATATATAAAAAAAAGAAAGAAAAAAAA